CCGCCGGTATGTGGGGGTCTGAGCAGCTCCGACAGAAATAATATTTGAAGGCAGGATGGTAATCTGGATGAACTGACTGCACTGACGATGTTTTCAGGAGGACTTTCTCACTTTACTTTACTTTGTTACTTTTTACCCACTGATCACAGCAAATATAGCTGCCATTGTTAAAGGCAAAGAAAGGATAGGGTAGCTCCGCCCAACACGCATCAGACCCACTTTTTCCACCTGAAACATCAGAATTAAACTTGTAGAAGCATCAAAAATGAAGCGGCAGACGTAGCATAACGGTGGCTAGCTTGCAGCCATGGCGTCCTGCACAAGCATTGGGGGGTCAATTCGTTAATTTGTCAGGGTACGTGCACAGGGGTGGAGGGACAAGCAGACGACCATGATCGACGTATCAGGAACCAATCGTGTACCATGGACCGTCTTTTGTGATTGGTTGAGGTTATTCATTGATTTCTCACTAAAGCGGGGACCATTTATTTTAGTTTCACTTCCAGACCTTCTATTTCACTGCTTGCTAAGCGACTGTGGGGAGATCTTCAAGCCACATGGTAAAAAATGTGTCAGAATAGATCTCCTACTGCACCTTTAATTATGAGGCACTGATTGAAAATAGGACATCTTAATGTACTTTTAGAAATGTCTGTGTGGAGCAGCGCTCAGAGCTGCTGGTAGAAAGTTTCCAGAATGGACCAGAGATACAGATGCTGCTGCAGCCTCCAGCAGTCAGGGGGCGCTCTTTTAAAGCCATGCAGCGGATCCAGCAGCAGACGGGGGCAGCTTTTTACCACTGAATCATTTAAAAATGCAGCTCCTGGCTGCATGTTGACCTTTTCTGGGTTAAACCTCCTAATGGAGGCGGTTTACTGTAAATGTTTTGCAGACGTAGATGCCTGAAAGCAGGAGAAGATTGTTGAGTTTAGAGATGAGGAAATGTGTGTGAATATGAAGCCTGTCCTCCACTGTACTGTAGGTGTGAGTAGGAGCAGCTTCAGCTCCGTGACTCACATTTCAGACGGCGTTCCTCCCACCAACAGATGCTACAGCCTGTTAATAATCATCATGCATGTTTTATAAAGGAGTTTTGGAACACAGAGATTTTTATTACAGATTATTTTGTATTGTTGATGTGAAAAATAAGCAGTTTTTTGTTTTTGCTAATTGTAGATAAAATCAAAAATGGTGAAGCAGATGAAGTATTAATGATCAAACTGGCGTCCAGATTTTTGATCTCAGAGGAACAGTTTGGGTGAATTTGTTGCCTCGTAGCTAAAACACTCTAAGACAGGGGTCTTCAACGTTTTCCAGGCCAAGGACCCC